ATAGAAAGTACCCGCCGCATCGTTACACTTAATCAGAATCGAGCACGATCGCCTAGGAGAGCACGAATTACCACGAAAATCACTTTATGATTTTTCGCTTTCACTCGGATATTTCTCCGCCCGTATGAATGTCTTGCAATTCACGCACGCGGAATGTGATAATGGTATCCGTAATACCGCGACTCGTGCGATACCATCGGGCACGCTATGTTTTCTTTTTTTATTTCATGGGAACGGTGCCTCTTAGAAAATATATCTGCCCGTAACACGTAAAAAAAGTCACGTTATCTGATTCGAAGAACATTTCGTATTTACTTGAAGCCGTTACCGATATCGATATTATCGAACTCGTACGTGATACTTAACTAGGGATAAATTATTCGCGATATGGGTTCCAACGAGCCAAACCAGCCAATTTCACGCGAATGCATTTGATGGTTTATTGAAACTATTGTTAACATAGGCCACTCGTCAATCTCCATTGTCTTGCATCGGAACGTCCAGTTATGTAATTGCGCTATTTACGTACGAGGCATTAACCAAAGAAAGGTTCAAGACGTAAAGCTGACGATGGAATCGAGTACTTCACAAAATATTTTATGTCGAGAACAATCGTCTCTATATTAATTTAAAAATATTCTTTTATAGACAATTGAGTTTGTAACTGGTTAATTTTAGTTTCTTCTTATCAAATACTCTAAATGGACGCGATGATAAAAGATATAAACGTGATCCGATGTGTGAGTTTTTACTATTTCGATTAGATAAATAAGTTAGTCGTTAAAAATTCTTATCTCGCACACTGGTGCGTCGATGATATAAAACTACATCTTCCAAAGTGTATTAAATTGTATCAAAGTGTATTAAAGTGTATTAAATACTCGGTCGCTGAAACACCTGCTCCTTGAAGTACTGGGTAATATATACTGATCAAAAACAATAAAACTATTCTTCGGTGTTCTAAATTGTTTCTAAGAAAGCATGCTTCTTAAGGTAAGTATGCGCTATAATTCTATCTGTCCGCGTTAAGCAAACAGATGGAACGCGAATAAATCCTAGATAAATGATACGCAGTTTCGGAAAAATGATTTTTAAATAACCTTTTTCACTTCCAACTTCCCGCTAATAGATGAATTGTGCCACGCATAACAACCACGATAACACTCTGACCTTGATTTGCGAATGCGGGCAGTTTAGCAACGCAAGAACGTTGAATTCCAGAAATTATGGAATCATGCGTTCGTGGTTCAGTCATATGAGGGACGATATGCCTTGCATATTTCCATGTATCCTGCATCCAAGCACAAACTTGCATATTTGCAAATAAACAACGCACTTGCACAATTATTTGTAATGTAGCAATTAATAATCGCCGAGGTAGAAAAATGGCCATAACTCGGGAAACAAGGTCGAGTAGGACACCATCGAGGGCGGGTCCCGCGAGTTAGGCTCGTAGACTTCCAGATACGACGCTTCCTAATCCGTAATTAATAGTACGTACCGTTCGCGTTCATGCAAATTGCGACGATTATGCCAGTGCCGTTATCAGTTGGGAGGGAAATTTTCTACGTCCACGGCATTCCAGCGACAGGAATCGCGCGGCTCGATTACGGACATGTGCGTCGCTCCAGAGTGAAGCGATTCACGGCGAATAACCTAATTACGCAGTTGCTGAATTAATAGCGGCCGGGAACGAATCACGACGAAGGTTAATGCGTTAATTAAATTTTATCGACGCGGGTTTCGCGTTTTTGTTGACACGCGGCTAACCGGCACGAGGAGAGAACGAGCTCGGTCAATTTCTTCGCGTGACGATGACGTTTCCATCGGGACGTGTCGGTTCACGGAACGACGATTCCGGCAAGAGGAACTTTCATGTCCAGACGAAACGACACCGATAATCTCTGGCATGGAGACTCGTTGTTTGTCGCAATAATAATTACCATTCAGAAGAAAGAAATTAATTCTCCAGGTAGACTTCATTCTGGAGGAAATTTCTCTTGTAAAGAAATTGCAAAGTATCGTAAAAACAATGTGTATGCTATGATTATCAATAATGATAATTAATCGAATAATAGGCGGACGTCTTGGAGACACGGAAAATTGTTTGCAATACAATGCACGGAGCCAAGAGTTTCACTGGATAAGTCTCGGAAACGTTTCATTTCCTTCGCGAGTCGCGTTCTGTATCATCTAGATCAGGCATGTCAAACTCATTTTTGCACGGGGGTCAATTTGCACTTCTCTGCCATATCGCGAGCCACGAATGTGCAACTATTTTACCACGGAGAGAAATATTTCAAGCACCATTTATTAATTTGCTCAGAATTAATTCCCAGAAGAAGATCATATGCAAATCAGCGTAAGATTTACGAAAACAAAAATTGACACGGAAACGATCAACGAGATTCATTTGCATTGAGACTTAGTTCCACATTTTTTTGTGCGTTTTCGTTAATTAACGTTTTATGGAGCAACTTTTTCCCCCTCGCTGCACGCAGCTCGAACCATGATCATTAATCGATAATTATTAAGCTGTCATTTTAGGATTGGAAAGTATCGATCGATCGTGCTGCCACGTAACAGGTCACGATCCGCGATATGTACCGCTGAATCTGAAATTCGTAATCGTCGACCGACTTAAATTTCATCCAACGCTAAAAACGGATCGGATCCTTGCAATATTTATAAGCAGCTGGTCATAGGCGAGAAAGCATTTTGCATAACCCGTTTAACCGTGTACGTGACGTTTATAAATTTTCCCTTCTCGCGCGAACATGAGTGACGAAATTGTTATGACCGTTTTAAAAATAATCAATCGATTGAAGTCCAAAACAGTATAAAATTAAAAATACATGTACAATGGGAATGTGTCATCTGTTCATTCGTCGACCAGTTCGTAATTAGATTGCCGATGTTCTTGCAAATCTCATACATTTGACATATTTCCAATTGGCATAAATGCACAAGTTTCCGCAGTTTGTTCATAATAATTTGAACGGGCAATGTAACAGGTGAAGCGAAAGGTCGCGTCCATCTAGATTTCTAATTGCCAGGTGGTTGGAATTTCCAAGTTATAGATCCTGCGTGAGTCACGCATGGAATACTTGTGGATTGGCGTATTTGCTAAGTCAATGATGACGTGACAGATTCTTGATTTACTTGGAAGAAGGCTACGGGGTGGTCCGTTATCATCAGTGACGCATTACGTCTCCGCGGAGCCGAAGGAAAAATAGAAATTTAGAGTCCTGTATCTAGAAAAACACAAATATTCAAATTAGTAGGAATTGTGCTTAGATTGTGTTTGCGACAAACATTGACTCGTCATCTGCATAATGTACACTTTAAGTTTATTTTATTCACGCAGCTATTTTATTTTATTCAGTTGTTACTCCGATGAGTCGTAAATAATGGGACACCGTATGTATGCATGGATAAATATCCTAAAAAATCTCTGTCCACCGATAATAAACGTACACGCAAGGTAACGTTCACGTGTGAGCGATAACGTTCGCGTGTTTATTTATGATCGTCAATTTAAACATAAAATTTTCTGCACACGTCTTGTAAGAATACTTCGTTCGACAAAAATGTTTCAAGGACTTCGACTTTCGCTTCACTGGTTTAACGTGGCACGTTCATTGCGTTGGTACCGCCGAAAATTTGAAAGTTTCTTACACCTTATCGCGTACGCCACGTTTTTGACTCGTACAATTACGCAGCGCGGTCGCGAATTCGTGGTACAAACTTTGTTGCAATCATGGAAGAGGACGAATGTCGATACGCATCGGATAATTCCTTCCGTGTCATAATTGTTTCAAATATTATTATTCGAGTATTAGAATTCTGACATCGTTACTCCGATATCATTATTCAAATATTAATATTTAAAAATTCTTTCAGAAAATCTTTTTCTTCGAGTTTGACGTCCTCGGAAGTTGTGGAGGACTTGGTTGTAGAAAGTAGCCTTAGTCCATTTATGCTGGACAAGCCCTATTTGAACTCTGTGATGCAAGAACCAGCCATCTCCATAAGTGATTTTCAGGAAATCAAAAAAAAAAAAAAAATTCCTTTCTTTTTTTAATTAATAGTATACGTTCTAACCTAGAAATGTACAAAAATGGAGACGCCTGGTTCTTGCGCAGTCTTCAATTGGTTTAATGGACACGTGAAGTAAAGTAATCAATCTTAATACAACTTCAGCCACTTCAGTCCATTTTCTCCAGACCCAGTTTCTTATCCCCACAAGTCTTAAAAAAAATCTGATAAAATTCAAAGTCACTCTCAGAGATCTCTACTGCAACATCTAGTTATCTATAAAGTTAAACATCGAGAGTTTCATCCAATAATAATTGAAATATCCGAGGAGAAATTCAAGCTCGAGCCATTTTAGTAAAAATGGCCCAGGCGGCTGATGGATAAGAAACGTGAGTACATAAATTCTCGCGTGACAATTCGCAATGACCATTCCCGAATCAACCACTTGCAAGTACGTGCAGCCCGATAAAACGATCCACGCGAAGGTATTACGTTCCGCCTACGTAATAAACGGCGTTAACGCGAGGATGTTAAGAGCTAATGGACCAACTTCCCGGACACGACGAGTTTCAACGGCCGTAGCGAATCCTCTGGCAATGACATTGTCGTTCGTCACCTCGTCGACGCTAACAATTTCTCGTTTTCATCTCGTTACGTCTTCATCTCGACGTTTCACTTCGATAAAATCCCTTGTACGTATAAGAAATAATATCTAAATTAATTCGATCACGGTCAGTCGCATGAACGTATCAACCCTTCGTTGGGTCCCTTCAAGGTATCATAAATTTTTGGAGTAAATAAAAATTATCTAAATTAATTTAAGACGTTTTCACCCTTTGCAAAGGTCCTCTTCGGGATTCTATAGATCTTGAAGAAGAACAAATAAAGCGTTCTCCATCGCGGCAGACCTCAACAAATGGAATAATTTAGAAATACGTACGTTCGGTAGAATAATTCAAGAACTTTCTATTAGTATAGCGAAGCGTTGCGATGGATCCAGACTCATTGTGGACGTATTCGATTCTTTCCACAACCTACAAAATTTCTGAACGTACGTGCTCGCTTGTGATGAATAACTGTTACAAGGTAAAAGTAAAACGAGCCTCTTTGCAGTCGGATTTATGCTTACATAATTGTCTCTCTTCGCGTCAGTTGTTCTCTTTACATCTTTTGTGATCCTCCTTGGACCTTTAACGTGCAATTGAACGAATCGTGGACACTCCCGCGTTAGAAGAATCTACTTGTCCTTCCGACATCAATCATGGTTTAATTTGCAGTTATCACGAAAGGAAGAAACTTTGCTAAGACGATAGAAGACGGGCGCGATGGTCGAAAGGCTCCTGCGTACAAAAGAAAATATTATCATACCTCGTACTCTAGAATTACGCTTGTTAACGATTTTTAAAGGGTGCAGCAGGATAAGAAGGGTGGAATGTATCCATAAACCAAATTTTAATTCCAATGTGTCATTATATAATTCGTTAAAAAAAAAGTGTATATATAATTATATAATTTTATAATATGTTCCATGGAATTCACTTGATTATAAATTATTGCTACGAAATACTTAATTGGAAGGCATATTTATCACGATGAGACCTGATCTCGGTTGATTATGCCCTCGTGACTAGACCGCAGAGTATTTCGCAACGAAGCGTTGTACATGTAGACAACTCGTAATTAGCAATCAGTTGGCATAATGCGAAGTAAAACAGTATTGGTTATTTACTAACTTTTCCATGCTATTTCCAGGGTTATGCCGTACCACAACCACCAAACGTGATATCGAATCATACCAAACACGAAATCGATTTTTATTATCAGAAGAGCCCCCTCCACCTTCCCCTAAAACAATTATTTACATTTCACTACCTTTGACGCATTGTTTAGTGGACTCGATTACAGGAACTGAATAATTTGGCCTACATCGGAAGACAAGCGGAGCTTGAATAGAATCCGTAAGGACAGTTGAATCGAATTTGATCCGTTATTAAGCGAGGCCCCTCGGTAAAACTTGTCACGTCGGATTAAGCTTCGGATTCACGGGCGTCGTTCACCGCCCAGCGTATTAGCTTTGATAGTTGCGCGCTCGGTTACAACGATTCACGGAGTAAACATTGCACTTCGTAAATTGATCCACCGTGTCCGCGACCACTGTTGGAAAGCAGGTGTTTGTAAATAATATCCGACCTGACGGACAAAAAACGCGTAACTAAAACGCGAGAATCATTTAACGAAATTGCCAATTATTAACGAATTGGCAAATGGAACACATGAATGTACAGCTTATGTTAAAATCGTATGAAGATTCTACATTAGTAAATAATAACTATTGTTATTATATACGATATGCGTCCGCGTAATCGCAGCGTTACGCCAACGTCTCTTTCGCCTCGATTTTTTTCATTTCACGTCGTCGAAAACGTGCATCACATTGCAAGCACAAACACGAATCGTGTTATCTGATAACCATCCTCGAGATACCGTGTATAAACTAGATAAACTCCTTTCCTACTTGCCGCTTATATTGCGAAAGAATCCCAAGGATGACGTTATTTAATCGAGAAGGCGGCTCCGAGTGCCGCCTGGCGCGATGAATTCTTTTTTTCGCACAAAACATAATTCGATTCTGAATTATTTAAAAAAAAAAAAAAAGATCACCTTTCAGACTGAACGAATGACGATATTTAGGAATTTTTTCATAGATACTAACTATCTGGTATGAATATTTCATAGATGTATTAAAATTACGTACTTTTAACAGGGAGACGAAAATGTTAGATAAATGTGCTTCAAGGACTTTCTTGATAATCGATTACGTTTAGAACGTTTAAAAAAAATATATGTAGGAGGGCAACACGAAGTACTATAAACGTCACAGCACTTTTACGTTTAAAAATGTTGTCCACCTTTATCGATACAAGCACGATACCGAGTTTTTCCTTTACAGTTACCAGCAGATAACAATCTAATGTCGTATGGTCTGCTGGCCACGGAGGCCAACAAACTGGTCCTCCTCGACCAATCCATTTCTGGAAGTAATATACATTCAACCAATTAGTCCTGATCTCGCAATTAATTTCTTACAATCGCCATCATATTTCCCATTTCTGTCAGAATTTATTATTAAATCTTCCATTTATACATAATCTAATACATTTTATATAAACCATAAAATATCCTGTCAAACTTCAATTGAAAAATTGTCAGACGCCAGGTACTTGTAGCTCTGGTTACTAAGCCTGTGCAGATTATTACACCGTTGATTTCAATATAACGACGAGTTATAAATCATTTTTTTTTTGTTCTTAAACCGTGAAAATAGCAATTTCAATTCTGGATACGTCTAACAAGTTACTTTACATGTAATTTCGTCTAATAGGTAAATATTATACTTAGTTCCTGAGTAAACAGGCTACTGAGAGAGAAATAATAAGTTTTCCTTGTAGGTATGACAGTTAAAGGTCCCTTTTTCATGTTATTTTGTACAGTAAACATAACAATTGTTACGTAGGTTGTTGTTTATGTTAATAACGTGACTTAATCTTCATTAATAATGTATTTCCTTATGAACTTTTTTAAAAACAACAATGCTGGACTTAATAAGTGGCATACCACCGCCATCTTTCTTTTTAAAATCAAATGTGCTTAGATGTCGTTGTTATATTGGCGTCGAATTCGAATCAGTCGATAAATGAACGAAACATTCATATTATAATAAAACTTATTATATATTATGTCTAATCTTCGAAAGTTTTTGATTGTATTATTATTTATTTAAATTACAGCAATAACTTCCAAAGAGCGGTAGTTCAAAGAGTTGGAAAATTACTACAATACCAACAATCGTTAATGACTATCCAACTTATCGACTCAGAATGGATTACAGGATAAGATTACAGCGCAACTTGCGATAACAAATTAAAATGAAGTACATCGCGAATTATTTATTGACAACCATCGTAATCGAATTCGATTCAAAGCACTTTGATTGAATCTGACGAGCATCCAGCATACAGTGGAATTTTTTCTTCGGTTGTTGCGACACAGAATAGATTCTAAAGCTGATAGAATGAATAAAACATAGTCCATCTACGTACTCTTGAATTAATCTGAAAGTATAATTAACTATACGAGGAAGATCGCAGTCTCCGATCAGTCTGGGATTCATCGTATGGTTAACTCGTTATAGTTTCTCGTTCTGCCGGTAGATGACAGCACGATGACAGTCTCACCCTTAACCTAAGATTCAATTATGATCCAAGCTTTTATTAAACCGATTACAGTCTACACTATTATACATTATATATTATGATACACTATACGTATTTTCTAAACATATTCTTTGCTCTGCATCCCTACGTTATAATATTCCTACAAATTTTCAATATATATAAAATGTAATTCATCAAATACCGAAACTACTCACATGTTATTACTTTTAAACCACTTGTAAAACTTAGAAGTCCAAGTAGAGACATTTTTCACAACCCTAAACAATACAATTTTTCATCATTTCAAAGAATCATCGCCCATATTTCATTTTCGTTTCGGTATTCCCATTAACATTCCTATAAATGCACAAATAGCTTCAACCATAGACACAACCATGGCGTCTGTTTCCTTTCACTTGCACGGTTAAAGTCGTGTAAACAAACAACGACCTAACCCAGAGGAACGTGTTTTCCCAGCGTTTCCAAAATAGACGTTATTCCTCTCACGATCTCTCGATGGTCCTCACTCCTCCACCTCCTCGATTCGCTGCCCACGCAATTATTCTCGAACCATTGGCCGAGCAATCGAGACGAAGGGTGGATGTTTTGGTATCAGCTTCGCCAGATGGCACGACCGCGATCACCTGTTTACCTGAATTTTTACCTGAAGGGCTTCTGGTACCAGGGCCCGACCAGCTCGGCCAATCGCTGCGTCGACCCTGGGGCCCCAGTCCCCCCACTTCTTTGCCGTCGTCTCGCGACTTGCCGCCTGGCTCGAGTGCAACAGGCTACGTGGTTCAGAAATTCGTCGACTGTACGCGCGTTACCGATTTCTAACGCTAGCTTTCGTCGCTGCTTTCATCGCAATTGCGTCGCGTTTGTGCAAACGTACGCTCGTGTATTAGTTTAGTGTCCAAGCCTCGTGGAATACCAGCACAGGAAGCGAGAACAGGTGAGTGCCGATTTACCTGAAATCGTTTACACCATACAGACATTATAGATAGAGTAGCGGAACCATACCTCCGGTCACATCATAGCTAAAAAGAGACAGAAAACTGTGGTACCCTATCTATTCTCTCCACCGGCGCATTTTTAAATCGTTTTTATGTTAACAATAATTTCATTCTAATAATTACACAAATATTTAACATTCGCGTTAATAAAAGCACAGTGATAGATAGGGTGCCGTGGTTTTGTTCTTTTTCTAACGATCAGACGTTTCCATTTACAGGCAAGCGTCTCTTCTGCTCTATCTATATCACTACGATCCTTTGCGATGCTCGCTAGATCAGAGAAACTACGATGTATTTTCATAATACAGCGGATGGGTTACGTATACAGTGGAAATCCATTTATGCAAACCTAATTGGGAGGACAGTTCATAAAACAGGAGTGGCAGTGGTTCGGATAATAGGAATCCGCTCAAAAGTTCACTAAATCAGGCAGTGACGAAAATTTAGTTCTTATAAATGGAGTTCTAGTGTATACATTCTAAGCAATGGCTTCTCGTGAGCTTCGGTAAAAAGAAAATCTTGGTTGAGAGTAAAATAACCTTTTACATTTAACATTTAAACATTGAAATATAGCTAAAATTAAAAAGATTGTGGGGGAAAAACGACAGACATTCTGGTCACGTAATTTCAGTTTCATCCAAGGCCAATCTCGGCACTATAGCGATCGTTTAATGATTCGATACGGCATCGAATATGCTATCGGGATCGCAGGAGGAAGTTCCCCAGCGCCAACTAAGGACATTCCGTCGTATCGTCCCGTCCTCGAGGACGACGGATACTATTGTAGGCGTGTGTCGTTCCTCCAGCTCGTTTCTGCACACGCGTTTCCTTTCTAGAACGCTCGCGCCGGTCGTTTTTTCGATTAAGGTCGCACGACTCCTGTTTAATGCCGGGACGTTCGCAGCATAGAACACGCAGGAGGCGAGCGGAAAACGCAACGTTTCCGTTTCTCTTCCGCCGCGTCTTCCCAGAACCGATCTGATCCCCATATTATCATCAACGGTACAGTCGACAAGTTCAGCTTTGTTAGCGTTACCACACCTTCGTGGTTACTATTTCTTTCTATTTCAAATATATGAACTTTGAGACACTTGCAAACGCAGCCCACCTTTTTCACGGCTGATAATAAAGAGAACAAATAGAACTATATTAAAATTTTCTGATCTCGAGTGGAAAGTTCGTTATCTCGCGTGAAACGTACGGTGGGGTGAAATAAACTTTGGAGTGTTCGATAAGAAAATTGTAATTCGAGTGTTTTTATGACAAGTTTCGAGATGAATGTTAGTACTGGCGTATTTCAAGTATTGTTGTTCCACAGGCTATCCTCTAGCGACATAAATATGAAACAGGAAGTTTTATTAGGGAATCCCCGACATGACAATCGCTATTAATCGGATTACGACTTTTACACACTTACGAAGTATGAGAATATCTATTCAATTTGTGCAATATTACTGTATTATTTAATGAAATACGCTCCACATAAATTTTGTACATTTCTCGTTCAACTACTATCGTTGGGTCACATTTGACCCGATGGAAGAATATTTCTTTGAAAAGAAACGATCAATTTTTATCGAAACAACGCCACCTCATATTGTAATGTACACTTTCGAACAAAGAAACAATTTCGTTAAATAAAATATGACCCAATGATAATAGTTAAGTACTCCAACAGTTACATTTTGCGCTTCTGTATAGTAATAACAGTAGCGTGTCGATAGGTTGGTATCGACAATCACCTTGAACCTTGTCATAAAATATATATTATAGTATTGTTATTAAAAACGTCAAAACACCGTTCTTATTTTGAATAAACATTTGCATAGATTGTTACAAATTGAGCACTGCGCCCTGCATGAAACCGATAGGTTTTCCACGGCTAATCAACATTGTACGTAGTCGTCAACGCGCATAAAATGTATGCTCTATCATTAGCATGCGCCTGACTTAATGTCTTTGGACGACTATTTAATTTTAGATTCCTCGAATAGCGCTTCATGGTCACATAATAATTACTGAAGCATCGTCAACTGTGTTTGAATGAACACTTGTCCGTTAATACACTCGCAAACATCGCATTCAATGGCGGATCAAGACTTACAGGGACCATGAACCTAATCAGAGACCCTTTCTATCAGTGCAATTTTTGAGGGTGGCATTCAAGACGGTCTTTCTATTGTTTAAAAATATAACGAGTAACAAAATATGAATAGCATGCTAAACAAGTGTCTTTTAAACAAGATTGTTCCATGCCTCTTAGACAGGGTATATTGTTTACTTCTAAAGACAGAGAGACTCTGGTCGTTGTTCGCGACGCATTCAGCGTGTGTGACGAGCGCGAAGCACTCATCGTAACGAGGACACGATTCGATCATGTCGTTTCTCGCTTCATTCTTGTCGAGCATGAGAGCAAGACGGATACTAATTCGAAGGGACAGAGCTCCATCTCAACGAGAACAGAGACGTTTCAAGATTCCACCTTGGTTACCCTGCCATTTCAATTATCTTGAAAATGGAATAACGACGCGTCAATTTAACGAACCAGTGGCGAGTTTTAATCGTCACAGTCGATTCGTAATATTGCCAGGCGCAGATGCGCGATTACTCTTGCATACCTATTGTGGGCTTATCAGCACGCGCCGATTAGCGTGCATTTTTGCGTCCTCATTGGCGACAACGGACCGCGGAACAATAAAGCTGATAAGTGATATTAAACGAAAAATCGTGTTAGGCAATTAGTCTGTAAATTGTTGATTAGAAGTCTTAAAAATGAAAGTCGTATTTGATAAAAACATTTCAAATACATAGATGAAAATTGCAATTTTTGTTTTACATGTATTTCATTATATGTACCGCGT